ATATATATAATTTTTCATATTTTATAATCATAACTTATACAAGTTGAGATACCTTATTCAATATTCTTATATCTAACAATAAGAGAATATCTCTATTTCTTATAATTTTTTATACAATATTTCTAGTTGAAGCTTTACCTCTGTTGCGCGTTCAAAGTAGTATGAAAACGCATATAGTTCATGATCTTTTAAGCCTATTGGTTTGTCTGTCAAAGTATTGACATATTTTTCGATGATCTTTGAACATTCCGAAAACCGTACAATTGGTTTATTTTCATTATCACCAGCGAAGTTTTGAGTCTTTATTAATTTGTATGTGCCATTTATCGGACCTTTCACAATATAATCACGTCCACTATACGACCATTCGGTAGATACGATCGGATTGATGCATTCAGAATGTATCTCTATAGGGAGTTTGAGATCTATAACTTCCAGATTCATGTCATAAGTTAATATTGCCTTTCTGGCAGCCATTAAACCCATGCCTAAATAACTATGCGTGTATAGGCTCATGTTATGATTTAATACATTGATGGAATAAACATGTTTCTCCAATTGTTTTACTTGATTACTATTTGGCTGAAACGTGATCTGTGTCGATCCTCCCCCAAGATCTAATGCAGCCACAGTAGTTTGAGAACTGACCGAGTTAAAGCGATCAAGCAAAAAATTGACAGTGAACCAAGAGAAGATTCCCTCATCTGTGCCTTCCATTATAGAAATAGAATTTTTTGCAATCTGAAATCCGGACATGTAAAACAACTTTCTGCATTCTTCCAGTATGTTGTTAGCTTTATGTTCAGGTAACAATCTCAATCCTGCTGTAGCTTTCATAGTCAACAATGTACGAGACCATTCAGATTGTGGAATTACAGTTTTTGCTTTATCCAAAAGTGTAATCAGGGATTTTGTAGCATCTTTTGGATTATCTGCGAACGAGCTCAAACCAGGTTTTATTTCACTAAATAGCTCATTGTCTAGTACTAAATTGCCATTAAGAATCGACTCATGAAAACTGAAAGCTAATACACGACTACCAGTAGATCCAGCATCAATAACAACAACATAGAATGGTTTTTGTAAATTAAATGAGAATGCTAATGTATCAATAGCTTTGCTACCTATTCTCATAGGTTTTAAATCATTTGCTATGGCTATATAACCTAGGAACAATGTACCAAGCAATACTAGTATGGTAAAGTACTTTCTTCCTGGCTGATTAGTGGTTTTCTTTTGGTGGGATGCCAATTGGTTGTTACGCTCCTCTTCATTTTCATTTCTCAACTGAAAACATAAAAACGAGTAATATGAGAGTCTGGATTAATGAACAATATTCGATGTATCACAAATACAACAAATTACACATTTGTACACATAATACTATTAAAACGAGACATATACTAAAAAAAATACCGCAATTACTTTCAAGATGCAAAAATTATAAAAAATAATTGCATATACAAAACAAAATTATGACGAATAAAAAACGCAATAGAATTTTCAAATGCAATAGAATATTTTCTGTCAAGTCGCGCATTTAACAATTTTCTTGGGAAATCTTCCCTATTAAATTAAAGCGACACAGTGTATTTTATGGCAAGAATAAAATATTTCTAATCAACGTTAACCTCGTAGCTTTCTTTCGATTATTTTTGTACTCACGAGCATATATTGCATTTAGGGCGACCAGCACGATTTGCCGGAAACGTATTGGTCATGAAAAAAAATAGCAATTTTCTTTATTCGACAAGCGAAACGATGAAAAGATCGACGCATCGCGTCAAATCGCGATGTGATTACGCATTTTCATATGTGCCTTCTATTTCTTTATAGATTTTCCTCTCTAGAATGCAGTGTATGTATACGTACACATAACGAACGACCGAACGACGAGCACTGACCACGTGGTTCCTCATATGTCAGGCTATGTTCCGATTCCCCACCCGGAGGCACCTAATATTATAGGCTGCGGTCCGAAATACGCTCACAGCGCTATAAGCGCGCTGCCAGCTATAGTGCACGTGACGTAAACTATAGATTTTCAGTACTATGAGCGCTGTGAGCGTATTTCGGACCGCAGCCATAGTATGTCACGTACACTATAATATCGAGTGCACCAGGGTGGAGAATTGGAACATAGGGCTGCGTTTGAGAACGTCACCCATGTGTACCGAGTGTCGTTCTATCTTTGTTATTTACTGAAAGTTGAACAAAGATAGAACGACGCTCGTGTGCACACGGATGATGTTTTTGAACACGGTCCAGCCTCAAGTGGGCGCAATCACGTGATACCCGAGGAAAGAGGCATGATCGAAATTCGAACGATTTCGAATCGATTAGCGATTCTCGCTTTGACTATATAAGAATGGACCGCTAGTAGCTAACTTCACACCAGAGGGTTGATTGTGTATCTTCAAACCATAGACATAGTCATAGACATAGTATATCTAGACCGAGTGTTGAGGAGTGGGGGCCGATGACCACGTAGAAAAGGACATACTCTGTTTCGTGCCCCTTGCGTTCTCTCTCGCTCGCACAGAGCATAGCGCTCTCTTTCGTCATGCTACGTGCGAGCGAGAGAGAACGCAAGGGGCACGAAACAGAGTATGTCCTTTTCTACGTGGTCATCGGCCCCCACTCCTCAACACTCGGTCTAGATATACTATGTCTATGATTTCAATTGTAATACATAAAAATTCATGAAAATCAAAATTTTGCTTTATATGACACAAGAAAAAGGGCTCCTGCAGCCCTGTGTTCCAATTCCCCACCCGGGTGCACTCGATATTATAGTATACGTGACATATACTATAATATCGGGTGCACT